ACCTCATGGGCACTGTTCAGGGGCATGTCGGTGGGGACATTTGTGCTGCTGCTAGTTGGGCATCCCCACACACATTTATTTGGTTTTACTGGCGTGCTCAGTCCTGAGTGTGGGTTAATATTAATTGTGTGTGGCTTCTGAGCATGCAATTTGGGAGTGGGCCACATCTCCCATAGTGAGATACCAAGTGAGGTTTGAAAGAGAACTTTTGGTTACCAGGGTAATCCCGGTTCTCTGAAAACCGAGTGAGGTATCTCACAACACTGCCCCTGATCAGTTGATCCAGTCAGGAGGTGTCCTTCTTGGATATGCTGCCCCCCCAGCACACCACAGTGTAGAAGAGGACGCTGCTAACCACAGACTGGTAAACCATCCACAGCAGTTTGCTGCAGATGTTGAAAGACCACAATCTCCTAAGGAAGTACAACCTGCTTTGTGTCTTTCCGTACAGGTGGCTGGTGTGTGTTGTCCAGTCCAGTTTATTATCCAGCCACAGCCCGAGGTATTTGTATGATTCCACAGCCTCCACCGCAGCTCCCTCTACCAGGACTGGTCGCGGTCTTGGTCTGGACTTCCCAAAGTCAGTGACCAGCTCCTTCGTCTTAGAGGTGTTGAGCTGTAGGCGGTTAGTGTGGCACCAGAGAGTAAAGTCCCCCACCAGACTCCGATACTCCTCCTCTCTGTCAGAATCAGAATCAGAATTTTGTTTATTGCCAAGTAGGTTTTTACGCCTACGAGGAATGTGACCTGGTGCAGTTGGTGCATAATATATATACATATACAAATACAAATCTACAAATATACCATTATTCAAATCACACAAAAATCACACAGAAAAATAAAGTACTTTCAAAAAATAAATAGATAAAGATAAGAAGAGAAAGAGAAAGCTGTGCAGAAGAACGTGGGTGCATTAATGTAATGCATACTTTATATACAGGGTGGGTATAAGAGTCAATGACAGTGGGTAATCCGGGCCTTGTTAAGGAGGCCAGCTGCAGACGGGAAGAAACTGTTTTCATGGCGAGATGTTTTAGTCCTGATGGACCGCAGCCCCCTGCCAGAGGGAAGTATCTCAAAGAGATTGTGACCGGGGTGGGAGGGGTCAGCCACAATCTTACCTGCACGCTTCCTGGTCCCAGAAGCGTACAGGTCCTGGAGGGATGGCAGATTGCAGCCGATCACCTTCTCAGCTGATCGAATGTTACGCTGCAGTCTGCCCTTGTCCTTGGCAGTGGCCGCAGCGTACCAGATGGCTGATGGATGAGGTGATATAAGATATTTTGACAAAAGTGGTCCTGACTGAAATTGAGCATAGCGTTAGTTCAGGCAGGGCACGAAGTCAGGCTTAGCTTTCAGTTACAGCTATATCATACGATCACAGCTAGTCATAAACATACATCAGCTGATTCCTCTAAGCTTCCCATTGGATACCATACACAGTCAGCTGACAGCTCACCTGATTTCCTCAAGCATCCAATTGGCAAACATCTACATGGCGCCTTATTTAAGCTGCTTTAGCCTGCCTGCCTATCTCTGCTGCTCCTCTACAAGCCTTTTTGCACCCACCTCCACCCCAGCTCCTCCTTTTTATGTTGTTTCTAATTAATCAATGTCATTTTCTGATTGCCATTGATGCTTGCTCTGTTCTGTACCCGGGGGGTCTCTGCTGCCGTTCTCCTTGTCTTAAACTTTTCCAGGTATGCACATGGAAGGGCAGGGAGGTGTGCTCTCCCTGCCTTAAGGTTTTCCACGTAGGCACGCGGAAGGACAAGGAGGTCCCAGAACAGAGCCATACCGCCAAATGTAAAATTCTGCTTGGAATATAAGATATTTTGACAAAAGTGGTCCTGATTGAACTGCTTTTAAAGCGTTTTGCTCCAGGTTGTTCTTGCTGCACCAGGTCACCAGATGGTCAATCTCCCATCTGTAGGCAGACTCATCTCCACCAGAGATGAGCCCAGTGAGGGAGGTGTCATCCGCAAACTTCAGGAGCCTGACGGACTGGTGACTGGAGGTGCAGCTGTTAGTATTCAGGGAGAAGAGCAGAGGAGAAAGAACACAGCCCTGAAGGGATCCGGTGCTGATGGTCTGGGAGTCAGAGACATTTTTCCCCAGCTTCACGTGTCTCACGTTTCCTGTCAGACAGGAAGTCTGTGCACCTGCAGATGGAGTCAGGCACAGTGAGCTGGGAGAGCTTGTCCTGTAGCAGAGCAGGGATGATGGTGTTAAACGCAGAACTGAAGTCCACAAACAGGATCTTGCCGTAGGTTCCTGGGGAGTCCAGATGCTGGAGGGTGAAGTGCATGTTTACTGCGTCATCTACAGACCTGTTGGCTCTGTAGGCGAACTGCAGGGGGTCCAGGAGAGGGTCCGTTATGGCTTTCAGATGGGAGAGCACAAGGCGCTCAAAAGACTTCATGACAACAGAGGTGAGGGCAACAGGTCTGTAGTCATTTAGTCCTGTGGTCCTTGCTTTCTTGGGGACAGGGATGATGGTGGATGCTTTGAAGCGGGCTGGCACATGACATATCTCCAAAGAGGTGTTGAAGATGTCAGTGAACACCGGAGACAGCTGGTCAGCACAGTGCTTCAGGGTGGATGGAGAGACAGAATCTGGTCTGGCTGCTTTGCGGGGGTTCTGCCTCTTGAAGAGTCTGTTGATGTCCCTCTCTTGAAGGCAGAGAGTTGTCACTGTGGTGGAGGAGGAGGGATTCACAGGGGTGTGAAGCTGTGAAGTGGCGGAGTGGGGAGGGACTGGTGAGTTGGGGCTGGTGAGGGGTGTCACGGTGGTCAGGTGTCAGGACTGCTCCTTTGTCTGTCGAAGCGGCAGTAGAACTCATTCAGCTCGTTTGCCAGGCGCAGGTCATTGATTGAGTGGGGGGTTTGGGCTTGTAGTTAGTTATCTGTCTGAGCCTCTTCCAGACAGAACCAGAGTCATTGGCTGAGAACTGATGTTTCTCAGAGTATTGTCGTTTAGCTTGTCTCACCGCCTTGCTAAACTTGTACTTTGACTCCTTAAACTTGTCCCTGTCCCCACTCCTGAACGCTTGCTCCTTCTGCAACCATAGCTGAATGAGTTTGGCTGTGAATCAGGATTTGTCATTGTTGTAACTCACCCTGGTGCGCGATGGTACACAGCAGTCCTCACAGAGGCTGATATATGATGTCACAGCCTCTGTGTACTCATCCAGACTTTCAGTAGCAGTCCTGAACACATCCCAGTCAATAGAGAGTTACTTTTACAGTTCTTGTCCATTGAAAACCATGTATCTGCAAATGTGGTGCTTGTGAATGTGAATGTTCCTTTATGGGTTGAGAATATGTTCCTTTCTATTAAGTTAAATAAAATACTTAAAAACTCTATTAGCTGGAAAATGCATTGTCACAAAATGCATTGTGCTGTTTTTCTGAGCTCATGAAAAATTGACCTTTTAGAGCTACGTGGTTTTCACTGGACAGAAATGCTATGAACATATGATCTTAAACTCCCCAAAAGTATATAAAGTTGATAGCTCCTTAACCTTAAACCTTCACCTTAAAGGAAAACTTTGCTGATTTTGGACCAGCTTTGTATGATTACAGTGTTGATTACGTGTTGACTGCACCCAGAGCTTTTGCAAATGTGTCATCTGGTGGACTCTTGCTGGCAAATAAGCTCTTGGTAATGATATAAAGCTGGCTGAAAGTCGGCAAGGTTTCCCTTGAACTACAACAGTAAAATGCAACAGTAACTGCAACGCGCCCCGAGTTGCGCGGAGTGTGAGGTCCCGCTCAACGCTGCTTGCAGCTTTAATATTTATTTATTATTATATATATAAATAAACAATATTTATTGAATAGAATATTTTATATTTAAGTTAATATTAACAATAACATTATAGAAAGGGCTATGCTGCCTGGTAATTAGTCCAGTCCTCACAATATTATAACATTATCTTTGTCTATACAATGTGAACATAAGCCTATAGGCTCTGGCTGCACAAAATACCAGGTCCATTCAAACTGGCTAACCCTGATTTCCTTTTATACACTTAAAAATATAAAATACTATATATATATATATATATATATATATATATATATATATATATATATACACTACTCACAAAAAGTTAGGGATATTCGGCTTTCGGATGAAATATCAGAATGTATATAAAATGCACTATAACCTTTCCAGGTGATCTTAATTTGAACTTATCTACTTAAATGCCCTACTTTCATGATATAATATCACTGTAGCATCAACTTTTTACATTTTCATTAAATTTCACCCGAAAGTGGAATATCCCTAACTTTTTGTGAGTAGTGTATATATACATAGTGTATATTACTAGACCTTGCCATCACTCCCATATACTGTCTGAGCCGGTGCCCAGAGACTTTACTGCTGCAAGATAGTGTGAGTTTCGTTCCGTACACTCGCATACAAACACATGTTCACACGTGAATCTTATTCACTCTCATGGTGTTTTTTTCCTCTTTTTCTGTTAGATAGTTCCGTTTATCCACTGACCACTATTCACTGAAGTTGTAAACATTGACACAAGAGGGAGGCTGGGCCCTTGCGTAATTTGCAAATACATGTTCTACCACTGGATACAACGTACTGAAAGAGAATAATGCAGTGCTGAGTATAATAACCACTAGTTATTGACCTATTGTTTTATTTGTCTGTGTAGTCAAAGTTCAAGCATTCACAGTGTAAGTAACTGGCAGATGATGTGTTTTTTGTGACTTCCTACTTCTTCCCGTTTTGTCACTGGAGCAAGGTTGACCACAACTGACATTTATGCGTGTTATAATTAGATATTCAGCACTATCATTTATCACTGCTAGTGAGAGTGGATACCCTGGCTGTAATTCAGATTAAATAATTTGTAATACTACTACTGCGAGTGAATTAATTCAAAACAAATGTTTATCTAGTTCTGTGTGTATATGTGTGTGTGTTTGTGTGTGTGTGTGTGTGTGTGTGTGTGTGTGTGTGTCCACCCTAGTCTGTCTGGAGGCCAATGGGATGTGGAAGCTCTGAGGACACTGACTCAGTTCTTGCCAAAGATCATGTAAGACTTGATTTATACCAAACTACCCACAAAGCACACAAGATAAGAGTGACATAAAGCTTTATGTTTTCTGCATATGGCACATTTTTACTAATATACTACTAAATACTAATATGCCAGTTATGCTATACTAACAAAAACAATGTTTGACATTCATAAGAACTGAACAGCAGCAGATTCTTGTCGTTCAGATGTTGCTTCTCAGTGTGAACGACAGCTGCTCTTCAGTGGAGGGCTTGGTGATTCTGACTGCTCTCCTGTCTGAATGTCCGACTGTGATGGAGCTTCATATCAGGTACAAACATATATACGTACCATAAATGCACACACCTCTTAAACATACTGCACTAGCAAATTTGCTCACATCAGACAGAACCATCATACCATTCCTCTCCTACAAGCAATCAGCTTGTATTGACTCTATAGACTTATTGTCATTTCTCCAGTTATCTTGCAAATAATTCCGGTATTTCATGGCTCTTTTTTTCTACCTTGACACGCATGATAATAACTCTACCCCACATTGTTTTAATTTGATTGCACATCCAACACAACATTCATAAATTGAAGTGAATTTCATGAAGTGAAATCTTTCTTTTTTACTCTACCAGTCTGTGAGGTCATGTGATTGATGACACAGCAGCTCAGATTATGACCACAGTGTTGCCCCGTCTACGGTTACTCAAGTAAGCATTTCACATTCAGCATAATAGTATTATAAGTAGGTGTGATAATGTCACAGGAAGTTATGGACATAATGTGGTTTGCAGAGAGTGTTTCAACCATCTCATAGAGCATATGAAACCTAGACAATGGTATCATTTGATTTGTCTTTTATAGCCTGTCTCACTGTGCCTGGTCAGCGGCTGGAGGGCTGCAGCTCATCAAAGCACTGGGAGAATGTGTCAGTCTGGAGGGCCTTTGGTAATATATAAATTATAATATATATATGCATATGATTGAAGTCTGCAAAAGTGTCTGGATACAGATGGACTTGCTTCTATAGTGTCTTGAAGTTCTTAATGTGTCTTTCTCTGTGTTTGTGTGTGTGTGTGTGTGTGTGTGTGTGTGTGTGTGTGTGTGTGTGTGTGTGTGTGTGTGTGTGTGTGTGTGTCTGTGTGTGTGTGTCTGTGATTCTGTGAACACCCCAAGTCTGGACTCTTTGCAGCTGAATGAGAAGAGCATGATGTGTCTAGCACAAGCACTAAGGAATATCGTCTCTATTCGCAGTCTCAAGTAAGAAACAGAATCTGGTTTACTGTAGCAGTCCCATTAGAACCGGATGTACCCAATCCCATATGAGAGTTTTTGACATAAGGTTTCACTCTTGGGAAGATCCTTTGTATCAAAATGTATTCAGAATCTGACCTTTCCAAGTGATAAGTATAATATGGCCTGTTAATAGCTATTCATTATGTGGCCCCTAAGGATTTATTTGCTGCACAATGTGGAGCTAAGTTTGCAAAGCTATTTCTGGTGGACGTTATTACATTTACTGCGTCAGTCATACTGACACTCTTTACTCACACACATATCCAGCACCACTCTAATAATCTGGTCTATTTATGATAGCATGCATTTGCTGACACTGTCGCTGCCAAAAGGCTGCTTCGCTGCTCGCGTTACAGCCACCGTTGCTGCAGCTCATCATTCCAACATGTCATAAGCTGTTGTTGCCATCGGTGATTGGTAGAAGAGGATATCAAATCTATGGAATGATGAATCCAAGGTGGGAGTTGCCATGCACTATCATAACATCAGAAACAAAAGATAGAAGTGCAAAACGTACAATTATAAGTTAGAGGAGATGGTGGTGACATTTTTATCAGCTCAGTGTTTCCCCTGATCACCTTCAAACGTTCTCTCAAAATCTGACACCTCATTTACACCTGGTATTAAACTGCAATCTGTATCCGGTGATCTTGCCTTCAGGTTTACATCTGGTATTTTTTGATGCATTCTCGTTATCCTCATTGAGATTGGCTCGCTGTCCCCCAGAGCAAAACTTGCATGTGAGCAATTAGATTGGTGGCAGATCAGCCCCATGCTCCCTTAAAAAAACTCTTGTGAATCAGAGGAAACTGTCTGGAACAAATTCTTAATTTAAAATGATATCCATTGTTAACAGCAGATCAGCCCAGATGAGTGAAACACACATTTATTTCTTATTGTATATCATTAGTTTTACCCACTCATATTGCTTTCATTTTTCCTGCACTTGGGTTGAATAAAATATCTTTTGGCTTTTTCATGACACAGAATAGACATATAATTTGTAATTGTGTGTCTCTGTCAGTCTTCCTGCTTGCTCATGCTAAAAACAAATAGACCCTGTCAGTTATGTTGTGTACAGATGCCAGCACATTGTACAGATTTCACAGCTACCTAAGATCTGCATACAGTGCGAGCCAGATGGGATCAGGATGATCACGTTTCGATCCCAACGCATTTACACCTTGTATTAACTGCCGACTCTGAAGCTCCTCTTACTGTTTTAGGAATCTCCAAACCCTGATAGATGACTAAATTTACTGATTATTAGTTTCATGATAAATAATGTCTTTCTCTTTCTTGTTTGGTCCGTCAGTCTGACCTCTTTTGGGACTCCAGAGCTGTGTGCTGTAGCTGCTAGTCTCACCCACTGTCCGCTCATACAGGATGTGGGGTAAGGTTCAGCTGATTATATAATACATTGTCAGTACAAATGATTAAAACATTATTCGCCAGGGGCAGCAAAGTAAATTATCCAATATGGGACATTAACATGATTGATTCTGATTTCTGATTTCGGTTTGTCAGCGCTGATCTAAATGTTATACATATGTGTCTGTCTCTGTCTCCAGTCTGGGGTGGAATAACTGTGAGGATAAAGTGGCAGTGGAGTTGGTCAAAGTTATCCCTTTCTGTCAGAAGCTGACCAGAATAGAGTGAGTTTGTGAACACACACACACACACATACACACACGACACACACACACACACACACACACACACACACACACACACACACACACACAGACAGACAGACACAATAATCTTTATTCATTTAGGCAGTGGTGGAAAGTAATGAAATACATTTAAGTACTAACTAATATTAAATAATACTTACAGCACATTTTCCTGATTATAGTTTGATACTTTCACTTAGAGGACCAGTGTGTAGGATTTAATGGCATCTAGTAGTGAAGTTACACATTGTAACCATTTGAATACCACTCAGCCTTCCAGGTGTGTAGGAGAAACTGTGCCAGTCACAGAAAACATGAAAGACCCTGTCCAGAGCCTTAGTTTGTCCATTCTGGACTACTCTGTAGATAGAGTCATTCTAAGCTAATGAAAACACACCTATTCTTATTTTCAGGTGATTATACTCTAATGAAAACATGTGTTACACACTGGACCTTTAAGTAGCATTTTTACTTCTACCGGTTTTTACAGTGTATATTTTAAGTCTGAATATGTTTTTTCTCCCAGTCTGGAATCAAACAGTGTGAGTGGGGTTGGAGCTGAGGCCCTGGTTAGAGCCTTAAAGTCGTGTCCTGCTCTGCAGCTCATCAGGTAAAGTGTTTGGCTCCTTCAGGCACCTGTAGATTTAGTTTCTCACCTATACTGTCTTCTGATAGCACACTGAATACTGTCACTTTGCTAGTTCATCATGTCTTGTTAATTTGGATTTTTAAAATGTGTTTAAACATTGAGAATATTACATTTGCCTCCACTGTGATTTCAGGCTGTGGAGGAACAAAGTCCCACCTAGTGAAGCCCACAGGCTCAGTCTGAGAGACAGGAGGCTGAATTTCTCTCCTACCTAATGTGATCTGCATTGTTGGACGGTGGCAGTGTGAAGCAATATATCAGTTCATGGGAATCTGCAGAGATGAGTGACTGCTTCAGTGGAGTTAAAATGTGTTTTCCCTGCAGTAAGCCCATCAGAAATGCATGATAGCAAGAAAAACATTTTTTGCTTAAAAACCCAATCAGTTGTGTATCCAATGACTGCAGCAGCTGGTGTCTAGTATGAAGGGTTAGAAGACCACTATGTGGTCCACTATGTGGTCCACTATGGGGGAGGACCCCTTTAGATGTACATTGTTTGAATATGTAGAAGTTAGTATAGAGTTCTCATCCCTTTTTGTATTCCCCTAAAATATTTAGATTTTTTTAATCTCAAGAGCTGCTTGAGGAAGTGATTGAGTACTTGAGTATTTAAGTACATATGAATGTTAAGGTATTATATTTTGGAAAGCAAACATCTGTTTTTAATGCTCATATAAATTAATGACTATGCACTGACTGACCTCTAGTGTCGCGATGGTGAACTGGCGTATTTAGTTAAGTGCAGCGGTGTTGCTGCACTCTTCACGGTGACACGATGTCCCTTTTTCCATGGTCTATGATTGGTATGGCGATCCTGACGTAGGTGTATTAACACCTTAACTAATGTGTCACTTACTGTGACAGAAGGCTGGCTGACCGGACACACTGATGCCTATCCTTATATGGCTGCCTTTATACTAATCTAATTACATGCCAAAAATGTCATAAAGTTGCTGCTCAGTAACTGCAGTACAGCCGTGTTCCTATATGGTGAATTCAAACTGAGATAAAGTTGGAGTTGCTGTGGGAATATTCAAAATGATCAAAATAAGCACCAAGAATGATTTTACAGCAACTACTTTAATCACTAGAATAAATTTATGATTCAGAAATTAACATAACATACATAAAGTTCCCATGTATGCACCAGAAATAGATTTGGCGGAATAACCACTGAAGAAACAAAACACTAATTTGAGGTTGTCTGAGACACACTTCTTTATTTTTCTATTTTCTATGTGTGTTTCTGTTGGCAGCTGTAGGTAGGTCGTTCCAAACTGTACATACTGTTCAGTAACACGAACATTGATATCTGATAATGATATAGAGGGACAACCCACAGAGCACATTCTTCAGGATCAGCTGCACCTGTTCAGTCGCGTCACTGCTGTCTCCACTCAGTCCGCCACCCTTCAGCGCCGTGACCTAGAGGCCATGTTGTGAAGGATTCCTTGGTTTCCAACAAAATTTCCTGAAGATGAGTTGCTGTGTGTATGCAGACTTGGACACTCTGTCACTTTACACTGTAGACTGTAGCACTGTCTTTAGTAGAGGCCACATATGTGAAAACACAATAAATCATGAACTCACAGTGAATGAAGAGTTCAGAGGGAGCAGCCCCCAGACCCCCCCCCCCTCCCCCTCTCTGACATTTGCTCTTATGCTCAGTTTAGGTTGTGGTCTCTATCCAATATGCGTATTTATTTCTGCTGTTAACACGGAAAGAAATCCTCAGGTTTTTTGTTTTTTTTTTAGTTCTGTATTTATCTGTTATTCAAAAGTTGGAAGTTTCTATATGACTAAATTATAGGTGATAATAATTAATTAGATAGAACAAGACATAATTGTGTATGTGTCATGGCAGAAACGGGGAATCGCCACAATGAGACAATTACAGATCAGTCTCACCACTGTCGTCTTTAGTTTCTTTTTGTGCTGATAATGTTTAAATTAGGTACTCATTCAGAAATGGGGACCTTGTTTTTTCTCTCGTTCTTTTATGTTTTATTGTTTTTTAAGTTTTCTAGTTCATTCCGTTTCATTTTAATTTCTATAGAGACACTGGATTTTATTTAACACAGAGATATTCTGCGCTATCTGCTTCAAGTGGTTTAGCTTTTTAATGTTTGTTTCCAGGTTGAAGTGTCAGTTCTCACATGACAAACTGCTTTTATCATTAACATTCATTCATTCTGAAATGCACTGACATGTCTATTGACAATAAAAATAAATAAAATAATAAAAGACTATCTTGAGTTTTGACCTTTATTTGCACTTCAGTTCACTTTTTCTTACTTACTTTCTTTCTTCCTTTCAACAACAGTGTAGACATGCACAACATTTTCCTGATAAAATAAAACAGGCATTTGTTTGCCTCTGATAGTATATTGAATAGTATTTTTATAATTTATAATTTTTCAGAAGCCATTTAAGGTACAGTATTTTACACATGTAGCAATGTTTTCCTGACAACTGCCATGAAGAACAGCTGAAATGACAGCTGGGCCTGAAAACACAGTCGCAGGACTCACGTTCATTTATGTTCGTCTGGCACTCTCTTGTGGTTAAAAATTTGTGGTGCAAACATGGTGCTCTTTCTGCTCCTTTCCTTTATTAAGGATCCACAGTTGCACATTAATGAGACATAATGATGTCTTGTGAATGAATCTCAGGCTCTATGAACACTGTTGTCCTTATCAGTGTCCTTTAACAATAGTTAATTAACACCACACACTGCCACTATGATGATTGTGTTGTTGAGTGTTTGCTGTGGGTGCCGGGCAGGGCTGGAATGTAACTAAGTACATCTACTCAAGTACTGTACAATTTTACTCTGCTTGAGTGTTTCCATTTTATGCTACTTTCTACTTACACATCACGACATGTCAGAGGGCGATAAAATGTACTTTTTACTTGACTATATTTATGTGACAGTCATACACTGTAAGAAATGATTCTGTGGTCATGTAGATTTGAATTAATGTATTAGGTAAAATATATTCAATATGATTGTGTTTTTGATTTTGAGGCAAATATTTAATTAAATTTCAAATAAAAATGTTTTGAATAAAATCCACCCATTGTAGTTAAATAAAACATAAGCATTATATTTATCTTATCCCAAATAGAGAGAATATTGAGTGAATTCAAATTAATGTAATCAGGCAAATTTTAATTGAAAAGCACTTCCTGTCAAAGTGCGCCTTTTTTAAAATGCAGCAGGCTATCATCTAGCCACAGGACATTGGAAGAGAGTACAGACAGTGAATGTTCGTCTTCTTCCACATTGCTCATCTTGCAAAATGTAACTGGTTGACTAAGGTAAGAAAACTTAATTTGTTATCACTGGGCTAGTAAGAAGAAGTCATGTATTGGTATATGAAAACATTTTAGTAACAGAAAACTGTTTCATATCTGATTAGCGGTGTTTAGTTTGATAGTTGGAGTTAACTGGTGATGAATGGCTTGTTAACTAGTCATTTAAGTTACATTTTTACCGAAATAAGTCCACATTTACCCACAAAATAGTTGCCGAATCAAACAGTGGCCCCTACCGTTACTTTATTCTTTAAAATATCATCATGTTGCTCGTCCTGAAGGCTTATTTCAATTTGTGTATTTTTATTGGGGAGTTCTGCATGACTTCAGGCTTAGTGGCTGTACTTCTGTGCTTTCGGCGCCTTCAGCGGACATGATATGGTTTTTCCACAAAATAAGTTAAATTATATCATTAAAATCCTTAAAATGACATCAACTCCTTTTCCCTTATTAAAAAATCCAGGATCTATAAATATGTCAATATTTTGCATGAATTCATTTAATTTTCATCTGTAGAAATGTGAAACTGAAAGGCACTTCTCATATCGAAAACTCTGTGTTCCAAGGTGCCGCCAAATGAGATGGCAGTGTAAAGTCTGTGGATTCAGAGCGACAACAACGGGTGATCTTCTGCAGCATTACAGACTACAGCACAGGACGTTTGAGATTGGAAATTCGGTACCTTGTCTTGATTATGATTGTCCATGCTCCTTTAAAACATTAAGTGCCCTCCGCACACATTTGTCACTGAGAACTTGGAGGAACTTGAACAGGCCATTACTGTGACCCCAAAGCCTGGAGCTTCTACAAGCAACAGCCCAAAGAACATTGGAATCGTCATAGAGGGCGTTGAAGTCATCACAGGACTTGGAGATATTGCAAGGGCTTGCTCTGTCCTCCTCGGCTTGACCTACGCGCTGAATCTCGATTATCCCAGACAGCTGAAGTACACCTTTTGAGGTATTCCAAAAACTTTTCTTGGAACTGGATGATTCAAAGCTGTCAAACAAAGTCCAGTCCCTCAAGAGCAAACTTCTGGCTTGAAATGAGACTGTAGTTGCAGTGCAAACTTTTGTGCTACACAATGTCCAGCTTCCACAGAGCTTGAGAACTGCGCATTTGAAAGTGCTATGTTTGTAAGTGAGCACTGATTTGTCCCACGAATGTCAGTGACATTTCTATTGTGGTTAGTTCAAAGTATGAAATGTTTTTTATTCCGTACAAATTACACTTTTCTGCTTTTGTTTTGGTACATGCACATCTGGAGGATTTTTCTTTAAGATCATTATTGATCCAATTTAGTGGCTAAGTGAGGTGAGAAAGCATGGAAACACATGTTTATGGACACATCACCATTCTGTAATGGCATTTATTTTTGTTTTTACAAAATAGTTTGAAGTCAGCGTTCTGTCCTTTTCAAATGTCTGGTTTGAAATGCAAGATCCAACTTCTGGCTTGAAATGAGACTGTGGTTGCGGTGTACACTGATGTGCTACAATGTGTCGAAAGCACAAAAGTGAATTGTTAATAAAATTCTTATTTGAGTATTTGTTATAGACTAGTTATTCCTAAGAAAGAAGAATATTTAGATTTAAGTCATTGCATTGATTAAATTCAAATCAATGTGAAGATTCATGTAGATGATTATTACTCAATTATGTATCATTGATATGTAGAATTAAATTATTTTTTTATTAGTACTATTTACACATTAAGGAGTTTATTTTTTTCAAATCAACTCAATATTTTTGTTTAGGTTATAATTAATTCTGTACTGTTTTCTATTCAAATCTACTCATATTAAATGGATAACTTTTAAGGGTCTCATTTAATTAATATTTACTCAATACCAAACATTGTGAAATGTAATTTAATAATATTGGTTGTAATCTGTTGCCTCATTTTTATTGAGTAGATATGGTGTATCTTTTCTTACAGTGTAGTCACTAGTTAAATTTAGGTTAGGATTTTACATACAACAAATGTAATAGACAGTATAACGCAGTTTCACCTCCACCAACATGAAACATGAACATATTATTATATTAATTTAATATAATGTAATATAATGGAGGGATCATTCTCGGTGGTGTAGTGCTCCCTGGAGAAGTCGGTATATTCTTAATTTTTCCCGGGCAATTCTTTTAAAGCAGCCCGTCCAGCAAAGGAAAAATAGCCTTGACAAGTAATTATGCTCTTGCATAATTAGCTCACCCAAAAATAGGCCAGTAGTATTTGCACATTGTCACTTATCTTCTGCTGCTTGACTTCAGAGAGTAAGAATCATTATGAAGTTAAGATGAGACACTGAAGAGGTGCAGATTTTACAGTCAATACTGGCCCACAGACTGTAGGGGGAGAGTGAAGTGTTCATTACCCTAACCTCAAACCTAACCCTTGACCACTCATGAAAACTGGACACTATGTCTTACCTTCGCCATCCTAGGGGGACAAAAATCAGCTCACAGAACACAGAAACATTTAGAAATGGGTTTACCTATTGTGGACTGAAATATAACTTGGTATATTCTGTATACCTCTGTCTGCTGTATAATGAGTCGTACTTGTGAGATTTGTTACTTTAAGTACATTTTGATTTTAAAACTACCAGGCCTACTCATTACTCAAGTAAAATATCTAAATGCTTCGTCCACCTCTGGTAGTGTAACTGTAATGTGTTGTAAAGTGGTGCACAAGGGTCGTGATACCTGTATTTACCACAAGGGAGTGCCAGGGGAACAACATATATCTCATACTGGATTTTAACATATTAATATTACAGAAACAGGATACTGTAATTTAGAGAATGCTCATCATTTAAAAAACACACCATGAGGTAGGAGAGTCACATAAAGTATGTGTGAGTTTGAGTGTCAAGTCCTGTTAGGAAAACAATATCTGGCTGTACTTAAAATAAATAAATAAATAAACACTTCACTCGGAAGCGCTTTGCGTCCGCTTGACAGCGAGGCTTTTATTTTGTACGTGAGCCCGCGGCACTTCCGGTCGTAGGCTAGTGCCGTTAGCTTGACTGAGCTCCGTCCATCAGCGGCGCTGAGCAGAGACAACAGAGTCCAGGTGGCTACGAGGATGATTTATGTTCATACACTGTTGCGCCTCTCAGGATACTCGGGATAAAAATGTCAATAGCAACTTCAGTTTCCACGCTTTGGTAGAAGAAGAGCTTCGGGGGGGGGGGGGGGAGTTTGTTTTTCGCAGTAATTAAAGAAATTATCAACTGGAAAGAGAAGTTGGACGTCGTTCACTGAGGTGAGTGTGGCACCAGCTTTTACATGTTGTTCCTCTCTGGTGTTCCTGTGTGGAGGTGTAACAGTTGTGTGCTGTTTGACGGATCCTGAGCTCAGTGGTCTGAATGACAGTCCGGCTGAAGCGTGCTGTCAGTGTGCTGGTGACAGAGGTTAAATCCAGAAAAAGGAAGGATGCTGGGAGGATGTGGCATTTTGCTGAACACCTTGCATGCCGGGCGTGTATCAAAGGGAAACACACAGAAGTGCGTCTGTGTGTGAAAGAGAGAGTTGCTGTTTTACTGTTTGGACCTGTTATCTATGTTCACTCCAGCTAACCTGGAACCAAATCTCTTAATGATGGCTGTTTACACTCAGGCTCTTCTATTAGCCACTTTGGCACGAATATGGCAGACAGGACATGTAATTAGACTGAATGAGTGTGTGCTGAGCTCTCTCTGCTATTAACAAGTATGAAACAGCCTCCATGCTGTTTTGCTCGTCAGTCAGTCACACTTAACCTGCCCTCTCTGTCAGGGGTTTTTTCTGCTCTGCACCTCCTGCAGAGAGGTGACTCAGGTGTGGATGTGCACTGTGACTGGGTGTGAACGTCTTCAGCAGGGTCAGTGCCACCAGAGACCTGCTGCCATAATGTAGTTTTGGATCATCCTGCTGTATAGTCCCTCCTGTAATGCACTCAGACATGCAGTAGTGTGCTACACACAATGGGCAAATGTTCTTTATATAATGGCACTTCATAAGGGAGGTGATGTGGTTTTAATAGCAGGTCCAGGGTTTTTCTTTTTGCAGCTGCAGTAAATATTCTCCTGCTGAGATGGTACAGCAGGTTATGGCATCAGCAGCTTTTGTATTACCGCTGGAAGACATTCAAATCTTTTTTTTTTTATTGCACGCAGCTTGAAAGTTGGGTAACATCCCTTGTTTTTGGGCCGACTTAATCAAACCAACAAATGATGGAATGAAAACACAACATTGCCACACAAACATACAGCACACACCACTTGAGCAGCAGAAATATAGTTTTTATCTCCTGATATCAGCCCTTAAAATCATTCTTAGCAATTCTACAGGATATCCTGCTTTAACTCTGCCCTAGTGCATTGCAACATCACGTATGAATTGTGTGAGAACTGTCTGTTGATGGTAGCTTTTAATTTTTATGAGCGCATCCCGGGACAAAAGGCAGTAAACGTTCCTTACTTCATCCATTCATCACCCACAAACAATGAGTGAAAGTGTTACAGCCAGTCAAAACAAGCTTTTCATTGCCTGTGAATGGCTGAGTAAATGAATGACAATATTACACTGGTATTTTCAGTACATCACCACTACCAGAGTGACATCACAGGAGCAGAACGGGAGGAGCACGCTGGTTATGACACATTAGTATCTTAGCAACAGACAGCATCCTTTTAGCTTGCCGCTCGGAGAACAAAACCACCTTTATGAGGTGATGTGCTGTTGATTTGTCCCTAAAGATTCTCATAAATTATTTCAAATATGACACAAGTTGTAACATGTTAACAGCTTGTCCGCACACGTTTCTTCTTTCACACTCAAAAAGTGTTTCAGGATATATGTGTCTTCTCTTAGTATCAATTTCCACTCCTCGCCTCAGGCCTTTCCATTTTGGAGGTTCTGTGATGTCTTTGATCTTGGCTCAGGGCACTGTGTGTGTGTGGTCTTCATAATGTTTAATAGTGGATACTGTTAGGGTTTCCAGAGGGCATCCATGACCTACACTGGGGTCATCCCGCATTACAAAGGCGTCACACTCTGTGTGGGTGTGTTTACATGTGTGTTTAATTCTTCCTCAGTGGGTATTTCTAAGTCTTTAGGGCAGTAAAACCACAGGAAATATTGTAATTGTGATTTATTGATTTTTGTGCTTTTTTTTATCATATTTCTGAGAAAAGTAAACATTAAAATGTCAACAAATTTTAGACTCATCTGCAGCTATATTTTGTGATATTCTTCCTCTTTAAACCACTGATTTCTATGTGGAAACACACACAGACGCGGACACCCTTGTTAGCATCTTATTTTCTCTCCGCAGTGGTGTTTCCAGTAATTTATGATTTTGTCGGCTGTCAGTGTAAGGCACACATAACACGCACTTGCTCCTGTAAAGTGTTAGTTACGTAAGACCCCTAACGAGTAACTGTGTGTTATCCTGGACACCAGCCATCACCGTGTGTGTAACAACAACCTACAGTACACTTCATTTCACACAGATCGTGTTAGGTGAACCTTTCAAATTTAAACTGCATTAGAGGGATGTGTGTGTTCATTCATTGTCATTACGTCACTGGTTGACAGATCCCTGACCACAGGTTACAAAAACATCTTGTGACATATTTTATTTTTTATACTGTTGAATAATGATTATATTCTCGATTAATTGATTAGTTGTTTGGTCCATAAAATGTAAAGAAAATGGTGAAAAATGTATATCTCTGTTTCTCAAAGACCAGGGTGATGTCCTTAAATGTCCATTTGAAATCAGAGAATTTGGACATTTATTCATAAAGAATGACTCAGAATGATTAATTGATTATTCAGATAGTTGGCAATAACTTAATAGTTGACAGCGAATCAGTTATTTGACTTGTTGCAGCCTTTTCTATGTAGGACGTAGTCTGCTGATTTTGGATACTATGACTAATTGAATCCCACTCGCGTTGGTATTTGATGACCTGGGAATGTGAAGTGTGTAGGAGAAACTACGGTGGCTGTGTGAGAAAATGGCCCTATCTAGAGCCAGTGTTGGGTTTGTCTGTTCTGGACTACTGTAGAAACATAGTGGTTCAACATGGCGGTCTCCGTGGAAATATTTTCATAACTGTCTAATCACTTATGAAAATAACTAATTCAGTTGTTTTTCAAGAAAAAAATCCAAACATTTGATGGTCCCCGGTTCTCACATGTGAGAATTTGTAACCTTTCTTGGTCTAATTTATGATTTTGACTGATGGACTGTTGGTCAGACAAAAGACGCTGAGTTGGGCATTTTTGATTTTTCACTGTTCTGATGCTTCATAGACAAACCACTGCAGCCCGAGTCCAATATTAGGACCAAATACCTGCAAAGGTAATGCCATTCCCATCAGCCTCTGCTGTACTTTGTGTGTAGTGCTGCCAATTAGCTAATATCAGCATTCTAACACACTAAACAAATATAGTAAACATACATTGAACCTGCTGTTAGCATACTTAAGCACTTAGCTCAAAGCACCACAGTACTACTACTACTATGGTTGATGTAGACTCTTACTCTGGTTTTTTAAACATCTGCATTCATGTATTGATCATATTCACACAATAACCCTTGTTTATCTTGGCTAGTATGTTTTGTTGTCTGTTCCAAGCAGTGTTAAGAAGTAGTCCAAACATTAACAATGATACAATGGTACCCGTGTTGGATGATGTGTATGAAACTAATGTCATTTCTCTGTGTTTTCTTTCCTGCAGGGTAATTAGTTGTAACCTCGGACCATGGCCTACACTCTAGGCTCGGCCAATGAGGGCCAGACGCGCAGCGTCGCACCTCAGCACTGCGTCACTCGGGTGGAGTTGTCCGTCACCGCAGCCAACCTGCTGGACCGAGATGTAGCCTCCAAGTCCGACCCCTTCTGTGTTCTCTTCCATGAAGTGGATGGAAACTGGGTGGAGGTAAGGATGGAGGGATGATGGGATAGAAGAAAAAGCTGGTAGAAGGAGAGAGAGAGGTGGAGGAGGAGATACTAGCAAAGGGAATAGGAGTGAAGAAGAGGGATGTTTTGTCTTCATTAAACAGGTGGAAAATGGAGAGAAATCAGCAGAGGATGAAAATGGCAGATTGGGGAGAAAAGGCTGAACAGAGAGATAATGCATTAGTGGTCGGATCATAAGGAGTCAGAGCCCATTTCTGGTGCTTCTCCATGCTGTGTATTTCAACTCCAGAGAAGTGAAGGGGATGAAAGGGAGGCATAAATAAAGAGACTGAGGAGAGGATGGAAGATTTTAGTTAAGTGTTAGAAGTGCTTTCAAGGTCACGTCCACCGTGCTGTCTCTTTCAGCGAGAGAAAGACGAAGAAAAAGGATTCTGTTTGTTGTCTTACTTTGCAGACAGTATATGTTATGAACCAGATCCAAACTCATGATGTCTTGACCATCTGGCATGAGCCCTGACGTGCTGTTCCTAGTAGGATGTTGCAAAATGTGTGAGCTTCCATTGTTGGACTGGCTCTTTAGACTTGGTTAAAGCAGTATTAGGCCTACCCAGTTAGTAAAATAGGGTTTTTCAAGTAGGCCTACTTATTACTGACATTAAAATTAAAGCTAGACTGATAAATTGCCAGATATTAGCTTATTGCAGATATATCACATTGGTGTATATGTCGGCCAAGAAATGCTGAACAAGGTTTAAGGTCATTTAGAAACAGTGTCACTATTACATGCTGTAGTTCATCCACCAGAGAGTAACTGTAAGACTTAGTATGTATGTAATCTAAGGGATCTGTATCAGCATTTTTCATGTTATGTGTTTATGTTGTAAAAGAATACAGCTGAGATATTGTTAATGGATTCTCAAGTACTAATCAGGCTGTGATTGAAATATCAGGCACTTCCACTATATCTCATCACTTACAACCTTTGATTAGGCAGAGGGAACGTTCGGATGGAGAAGCAGGTTGAGAAGATATGACATAGATAAAACAGAAAACCCTGACAGAGTTCCTAGAGGTGGAAATCCAGTAATAGAGGGCACATTTGAAGATACTGATTTTAGACTTTACCGGTTGTGGTTTAAAAGTTAATAAAAAACGCTTTTTATTATTATGGCTTTGCTTTGCAGAAGCTCAGATCAAGAAGAAAATGTTTCGTGTACAGTTCAACCTTGGTGAACTTTAACATGTGAATTAGGCCGCTGACAGCAACAGCAAGCCATCTTGACAGTGTTGACCTTTCAGGGTACGGAGAGCTAGAGAGTCCAAAATTGTTTTCCTTTTTTTTTGTTGAACCTCCTCTGTCACAGTCAAAACTGTTCCACAAATAAGCAGTGGATTGCAGGCCATTATGAGACAGGAGTCAATGGCACAAATACAACTTTTGAATAAACTATGAGAACTTGTTGTCCCGTTAGCGACTGAGCTAAGCTATAGATAACTGACTGTTAGCGAGCATGTTAGGTCGGAGAGCTTTATTCTCTTGTTTATTTCTCATGGTTGATTCTCACATTAGCTATAGTTTGGTATGTTGAGATAAGCCACATTACGTTCGCGCTGCAGCTGGATATACTTGGCTGTTTTAGCCTTGTGATAGACTAACAACCTATCAAGGGGTTTATCCCACCTTTTGCCCAGTGTGTGCTGGGACAGGCTCCAGTCCCCGACAACCCATAAACTGGAATAGGAGAAGATCAAAATCAGGATTTGTTGGGAACTGATACTTGACTATAGATTTGTTTGCCTGGCTTTAATCGCATACATAAATATGTGATGTCAGTGTATGTATGATGTACGGTGTAGACTAAAACACAAGTTGAAGATGCTGAAGAGGAACATGGTGATGAAGTTTTGGTGTGTGTAGGCAGCTGCTTTAAGGCTTTTTCGCAGCGAACAGCTGGTCTACAGGGCAAACTGGCTTTGGTGGATGTGTGTTTGTGTTTTTGTGTGCGTGTGTGTGTGCGTGTGTGTCAGTGTGTGTGTGTGTGTAGGCGAGTGCCTCGGGTTGTAGCTAGCTGTCGGTCAGCAGGGCATGTGGCTCCGATGTGAAATTGCCAACGGTCACTATGGCAACGGGAAGGGAAACAAAAGCTTAGTGCTCCTGGAGTGAGGGAACGATGGAGGAGGCGAAATGAGGCCCAAACCTTTTCTCGGATATTATCCACAGCTCGCTGTTTCTCTCACACCCTGGCTTTCTCACTTTCTCTGATCCCCTCCTGCTAGCTTTGTTTTCTCTGTCCTCCGATTGTCTTTCTCATCTCTGTCACCAGCCTTCCCCTCTCTGTCTCTCTCTGTCTCGCTGTCTGTCTGTCTGTCTGTCTGTCTGTCTGTCTGCCTGCCTTGTGAGATAGAGGTGTGAGAAGCAGCTGGGTTCATTGGGGGAAAGGGAGAGAGACGGTAAGAGAGGGTAAGAGTGTGAGAGCAAGGAGGTGTGAGAGAGGGAGATGAGAAAAGGGTGCAGGGAAAGAGAGGGTGAGGGGGAAATTAGTGAGAGAAAGAGAAGAAAGAGAAGAAAAAGACAGGTGAGAATGTGAATGAGCGACAGAAGTAGAAGTGAGACAGGGCAAGAGGTGAATGAAAGAGAAATGATGGAAAAATATGATAGCAGCTAAACCTGGTGTTAGAGAGGCTTTAAAGAACATGATAAGACTACAGGAATATGGATCTCAGCTAGGTAAATGACGTGGCACCCAGTTAGCTGACTACTTGGGCTATTTCCTAAATTCCTTTGATTTTTCTTTTTTCCCTCCGATCTCCAAATCCTCATACTAATCTCAACACGTGTTATGGACACAGATATACGCCTGTAACACTGCAAGTGAGAACTCACATTCAACGTGATTTTTTTACCACGTACAGTGGGGATGCCAAAATCTGTGGTGTTTAAAATCCCATCTTTAGCTGTGTAATACTGTGAAGTGCAGTCTTATGTAGCCTTCATCATGTAGCATAATTTGCAGAATCATTTTTTGTGATGGTGAACCATTCTTTCAATGACATTTCTGCTCTAATAAATAGAGCATCTCAGGAAAGTTAGCTGAATAACAAAGTCCTTCACCAAAACTATTTTCAGAAACATGGTGTGTGTCTCTTTTGTTGTGTTACTGTTTGGTTTACAAATTATTAGACTACAAATCAATTCAAATATCGACATAAAAGTGAATGCAGGATAAGTAAAGCTACTGTAATAAATCTGTGTTAACAATTTGACAAACCAACAGATTGTTTTCACTCTATTCTACTGCTTCTCTCAGCTCTGTGGAGCATTTTAGCAATTATGTGTTTGTTTGGGTGCTGCAGGTTCAGGTTTGTCCAAGTGATTCCTTTTAACTGCAACTTTTCTGATGTCTTTGAAACCACTTGGGTTCAAATTAATTTTCCAAAGATGGATTCTGTAATTTTAAGTAGCCTGGTCCTTAAGGCGATGTTGTATGTTCAAGGGTTTGTTTCTCTTATATGGTTTCACATCATGATGGTGATGAGGTGGGTCAAGGTTTATGGGCGGGTCCTCAATACTGTGTCTCTAACCTCGATGACTACTGTGCAGACTCTGGGATATTTTGGCTTCATTTTTGTACTGTGGGAGGAAGTGGGGACATGTCATTGCCCTGTAGTAAGCTATTGTTTACTGCTGTTGATATTGTTATTATTGTACCATTTGTATCTCAGAGGAAATACTCTGATAGTAAACATTGACATATAAAAAAGAGGGCAAAAAGATGAAGTGCCACAAGGGTCTGATTCATTTCTAGAGCCAGTCAGGTTCAAATCCACAGTGGCACAAATATGAGAAATGCACTTCAGCCTGCCAGGCTGCCATGATGTCCCGGTAATGTCAGTTTTTAAGTTTAAAGTGCAACCATTCTTCTCTGCTGTTTCACTGTTAGCAAGATGAAGTGAAAATCCTTTTCCCTCTGAAATTGGTGTGCAGCCTGTCTCTTCTCAGGTCTTTAGCAATTACGGTGTTTACAGTCAGAGAAATGTAAGTTATTTTGAATAAAAGCATTAATAATGGAATGTAAAAGGTAAATTTTATAGAGGTGCCTTAATGTCTATACAGCTATACTCAAAGTGAAAACACTGAATCATCTCAAACAACAGCGGAGCTTTTTCAGAACAAAGTGTTATGTATTTCCCCATCTGACCCAGTGCAAACAGTCTAGCTGAGAGGGAAATAAAAATGTACTACATTAAAATAGGACTCCTGATTGGACAGTCTAACTTTACATTAATACGTATGTGTGAGAGAACTATGGACTGTAAAACTATATATATATATTATGTTGCTAAACCTAAGTGCCTTCAATAAAAGTAAGGGAGAAAAAAGCCTTAGAGCTTGTAAAGCGGCAGTGTGAGGCTGTACTGCTAATATGCTGATGTTTAGCATGTAAAATGTGAGAATGGCATTAGTGTTGCAGGCATTTGGTCATAAACTAAAGTACAGAATTGGGCTAATTAAAATGAGCCTAACAGGTGTTTGACAAATGTACAAATTAATGCAGATATTTAGATGATGAAAAAAAATCCCCCCTCTCCCTAAATAAATAATCTAAAACAATATTAATACATTTTTGTTATAAAATATTTTATTTGTAGTGAGTGATTTTCAGATACTCAGTGACACTTTACATAACACAGTCTGTACTGTCAGAGGCTGTACTTAAGCACAGTGGTGCTTTCAGCTAGCTAATGCTAATGTCAGCATGCTAACATGCTCTCAGTCATACTAATATGCTGGTGTTAAGCATCAGCATATTAGCATTGTCATTAGCATATGTTATACCTAATTAACCCTCTTAGATTAATAGGTATACCATGTATAATATGTTAGTGTACTAACATTTGGTGATTAGCAAATAACAATGCTGAGAATGATGGGAATGTCATTAGTGTTGCAGGTATTTGGTCCTAAATCAAATTTTTGGACAAAGTAAAAACGTCAAGTGACATCCTCTTGTGACTACAAATGTCAGTACAAAATGCTATGGTGATCGATCTGTAGTTTTTGAGGTATTTTTGGCAGGACCAACATGGTGGACCAATCAGTCAACTCAGTGTAGGCGCTGTGGTGGGGCATTCGAGGGCCGTGCCCCCCCTAGCGGTCATTGATGCCCCTCCTACCACAGGCCATGGCGTGGCCCAAAAAAATATCCCTTTTAGTTATTCTTTTAATATTAAATGTGCAAACTGTAACTTAAATGAAATAAAATGAAATGAACGGGGAAAATGCATAATTTTGGTTGTTCATGCATAGCACGTTACTAGGCTTGGTCATCATTGGTCAATGCTTATTGGTCGCTGAGTAAACTTGTTACATTTGATTTGCAGCACGCAGAATCCATTTCAAGTTGTTGGTTTGAATCGAAAAGAACAGTTTGTCCGTCTATATCATAGACAGTTAGCGGCTAACTGTTAGCCTAATTATCCTCCTCAGCCTCTTCCATCAGCAGACTCTGACACTCCGGCCACCACCACCAGTACCACGGTCTCTGAGAGCCGAGCTGGCCCTTCTGCTAATGCTAGCTCCGGACAACCGCCAACGGACTTAACTAGCGCAGCCATAGAGCAATGATCTACAAGCCCTCCAAGCCAGCGGACAGCGGTTGATGATCTCAGGACTGACAGGCCTGTCCAAATTGTGTTAAAACAGTATCCTGTAACTGTTTATAATGGTAAGGGGCGATCATTTGTTGATAAATGGTCTCACAACAGAGAGTGGTTGGAGTACAGTGTCAAGGCAGACACAGCATTTTGTTTTTGCTGTCGGATGTTCAGCTTCACTAGAAAATCTGGAACATTGGATGCCTTCGCGACTGTGGGCTATCATAACTGGAAACACGCTATGGCCAAAGACCGTGGATTTCATAAACATGAAACTTCGAAGGACCACATGTCTTGCTATGCAATGTGGAAGGAGAGGGAGATGCGTCTCAATACAGGGAATGAGGTATCAACCCTTGTCAATGCAGATCAACTAAGGAAAAACCGGTATTATTTGTCCTCACTAATAGATGTTGTTGGGTTCTTGGTTGAAAACCACTTGCCGCTACGGGGGAAGATTGACGCTTTTGATGACATGTCGGAGGGGGGGTCTGGACTTTTCCTTTCCATGCTTTATGACACCATCCAAAAGGATCCTGAATTGGCTAATGTGGTGAAGACAATCCCTCGCAATGCCACTTACATCTGTTATGATATGCAAAATGAACTTATAAGAACACTCAGTAATGTGGTGACAGAGGCTATAGTGGAGGAAGTTGGTGACTCCTATTACACTTTGAAAGTTGATGGGACGCGTGACCCCACTGGATGTGAAAATATATCGATTGTGCTTCGATTTGTGAATGAGTCTTACGAAGTTACAGAGTGTCTAATATGCATCGCTATGGCTCAGAAAGGTGACGCACAGACATTAACTGACACCGTTCTGACTGAGCTGAACATGGGAGGCCCCTGAACTTGGGAGGCCCCTGGGCTTCAGCCCAGGTAAGCCCGTGCATTAAAGCGGCCTTGTATGATGGAGCTACGCTTATGTCTGGAAAACGTGGTGGTGTTCAGAAAATTCTACAGGAGAGACTTGGACGTGAGATACCATATGTGCACTGCCTCAACCATCAGTTGCATTTGGTTGTGGTTCATGCCATGTCTGCAGACACTGCACTTTTGGAGTTTTTTGAGGTGTGCAATTCCCTCTACAAATTCTGTAGGAAGCCAACGTTTGCTATGCATTATAAAGGTGCACATTTTAAACGTCTTCTGGAGCAGAGATGGACAGGGCATCTTGCCACTGTCTCAGTCATTTACTGACATAAAATCGATTCTGACCGATGCTGACACTGTGCTGAACTATGGCGCAGAGACGAGAATGGAAGCTACAGGCCTGCTGTGCGAGGTATCTGAGCCAAGTTTCATGTTCCTTGCCAACTTAACAAGCTTCTCAAGAGGGAGGACACTGACTTGTTGACAGGTTTAAGTGTTGTGGCGAGTGCAACAGGATGTGTTAAAAAACTCTGTTGTGATGAAGAGTTTAATCAGGTGCTGGATACTGCCACGCCCACCAGCGAGTCACTGAGACCCGGGCCCAAACAGAGACGCATAGAGAGCACACGGATGGATGGTTACATCGTTATAGGGCCTAAAGGAGGACACAGAGGTGATTGTAGTACAACACTATTGATTCGGTGGTTGGGGAACTGGAGCGTAGATTCAGTGAGCGCAACTCACAACTGGCAAATGCACTTGCAGCACTAAATCCAGAGGCCGATAACTTCCTTGATGTGAAAGCTGTGAAGCATATTCTCACCTGTCACAATCGATTATAATAGACACTGAGTTTGAAGTTGCTAAAGAGTTTTTAATGTCACAAAAGCAAGCAATGGAGGGAGACTGGACCATACAGCACATCATCTCAATGTACCACAACCATCTGATTGCCATGCCCAGTGTGCTAACTGCTTTCAAACATGCACTGACATTTGGCGCATCCACAGGAATGTGTGAGAATTCATTCTCCACTCTGAAAAATAATTTTTCGGAACACAGACGCACAATGCTTCACGAGAGAAAGGCCAGGTTGGTGCAGCTTGCACTCGAGAAAGACTTGACACGCAAATGCACAAGCGAATGGAAGGACACAGTACTTAGACGGTTCAGCAGCAACACTCATCGCCTGCAACTCTTCTGAGGGTAAGTCGTTTGTTCATTTCACTTATAGAAGCCAGACCTGGCTTTTATGATAAGGCCTACTAAGCAGGTGAATTGTTGATGAATGTTTGCTGGGTCTATCTGCATTTGTGTTTTATACTTGGCTGCCTGTAAGATATATGGGCTTGCGTGGCTTGTCCAACAGGCTACTTGCTGCCCGAATGCGTGCCTCAGTATGTGCTTATGTCAGCGGCCCTGTCCTGTTACTTATATGTTGTCCAGAGGTGTTTTTGATGATGGTGGAGGCTGTTGTCTAATGTTTATAACCAGTGGTAGGCCTACCTAATGGTTTTCTGGAAGTGCATAAACTGTTGAGAGGTGGAAAACTATTTCTGACATGTCAGAGGTGGGTAAATTGCATTTATTTGCATTTAGCTTCCATGACAGCCCTCCGCTGTGTGTCATCTGAGTGATCCTCCGTCCTTGCTGGGGTAGAGAGAGGGCATAACTTTACCCCACCCCTTTCTGCCTTTTATTATCGTCTTTGTGTGTGTGACTGCGTAAACTGTGTGCATAGGGCTACCGCATAGCCTCGACTAAGGGACATGATATGGAAATTAACAACAACAAGAATAAACGAAATTTGCAAATAATAATTAATAATAATCAACAAAAAAAAAACGTGTTTCGTTTTTTATAACATTTCTGCTGTGTTAGACTATGATGTCACCACTGCGTCAAAATATTTCTCAAACGGCAGTGCCCCCCTGCCGATGACCCAATGCCCCTCCAGTAGATCTGCTCTGGTGCCGACTCTGAGTCAACTGCTTTGTTTAGTGCCTGGTAATGAGCAGAAGGACAGGTGTAATTTAGTGTCAGGGTGCTGACATTTAATGGCCACCATCTCCGGTGTATCAGTCCAATGACCATTCAAAAACGCCTTTAATATTCACTCAAATTCAAAAGTGGCGTATAGTGACCTAGTCTAATGGTGGATAAACACACTATGCAGTGTGTTTTGTGTGAGTCACACTGGAGAGTAGCATGGCCAGTGAGTTTTAGTCATCCAACAACCTGGTTTCAAGGACCCAGAGCAAATAACATGACTCTCACAGTGCTCTTACAGACACCCACGCTCTCTGATCTGTCTGTGTGATGTACCAGCTATTTTTTGGGGAGATGAGAACTCATCACTTGTAAACCTCAAAGCTGGATTGACTTGCAAAAAGTAGTTGAGAATGAGGAAAATGAAGTTAAAGTGTTCAAATGTTAACAATCTATAATAATCAAGCGTGAATGCAATGGACGTGAGGGGTCACTCATAGTGCTGTAATCAAAGTGAGACAACTCTGCAGCTTTACTGAGCCTCTTGGCCCCTTTTAAAACTTTGTTTTGATTTTACGGTACATTTACCATTTGGGTCAGTCTCTCAATAGTGTACTCTCACCAAACCCTGACTGAGCTTAAAAGCTCTGAAACCCAGTGAACATTACCTGCCCAGTACCAGTGGTAGACAGGCAAAGTTGGCAATTAGTTCTGGAAGAAATGATGCGGAAGTCCCACACATTTATAGCGACATGGCTCTTGGGATGGCTTTTTTATACAGTTGTGATGCTACACGGGATGGTGTTCCTAACTAACTTTTGCATTGCATTGCTCCATTGTTTAATATTTTGCAGTTTACAATAAACAGTTATGGCTCTTGTATTCCATTACTGGTGATAAGTGGTAAGTGCAATCCATGCAGCCAGAGACTAGACTGGGCTCATGCTCAATTAAGTTGGTACAGAAATGAAAGAAGCTGGATGTGGAGGAGTTGAGAGACAAGCCTGCACTGATGCAATCAGAAACCTGCATAATGTGCACATTGTTATGTAAGGTTGTTATGTTTAAATCGAAATAAACTACATACCTACATAATGTTAGAATAATGGATGATATAACTAGGTTACTCTGTTCCATGTAAACACAATATCTTGAACGTGATCACAACCAGAATAAGACTTTCTAGAATTAGTTAAACGCCCAATTCTCGTCTGTGCAGTCCCTGTGCAGGTTGATGTTAAAAGTTAAAACTGTGATCACTGCACACTGCCTTTTCAGTAAACCCTCACTGTTCCACTGGATCTACAGGCACAGCCACAGTCCACTTGAGTCAAATGTGTTTAAATGAATTTTTTGTTTTAAGAGTCTTAATCTCTCCTTGTTTCTTCTCATTTAGCTGGGGCGCACTGAAACAGCTGTGAACAACTTGAACCCGGTGTTTGGAGTGAAGTTTCAGGTGGACTACCACTTTGAGGAGGTTCAGAAGCTTCGCTTTGCCATGTTCGATGAAGACAAGTGTGCCACGCAGCTCTACGAGCACGACTTCTTGGGGGAGTTCATTTGCACACTGGGAGTGGTAGGGAATGATTTCTCCTCTTCAGTCCAAAGTTGGTTCTGTATTAATTTCTGTACTGAGTCTCCAATGTGACTGTGTTCTGGATGAATTAGCACACTCAGTTCTGTGATAATATCATATTGTTGTAAAACAACAAATACCAACACATTCTGACCAGTCATGACTATTGTAACAGTAAGATGTCTAGCTGATGGCAGAGCTGTGTGGGAGAACTGATCTAATTAGCACCACTATGTAAGTAGCAGTCAATGTTTGTCAGACTGCTGTAGAATAACATTTTCTTCCAGCTCTGTCAGTCCTTCATGCTGTATGTTACATTATTCAGCTATTTGGTAAAATGTAGGCGTAAGGTGATCAGAAGCAACAGATGTCAAGCTGCACAACATGACACATTCCCACCTCTGGTGTAGTCAGGAAGTTAAAAGACGCAACGGAGTCGAAGCACTTCCTTGTTGCTCGTTTAACGTGTAAGGTCAACAGTGGAAGAGAAGAAGTTAGCGTGGGAACTGGATAACTACTAAATTAAACTAGAATGATGGGTTCAAACCTATCTTTCTTTTGTGTTTTGTCGTTCTGAAGTGATTCCTGTGTGTCTCTCTTAAATTGTCCGCTAGATTGTGTCCAATAAGAAACTTCACAGACCGTTGATCTTAGCCAATGGGAAGCCAGCAGGCAAAGGATCCATTACGGTAAGAATCAGCACTGTCTTTAAAAGGTTCTCTCTCTCTCTCTCTCTCTCTCTCTCTCTCTGTATACAACCTCTCTTTCTTCCTGCCTCTCATGTTGACACACACACACACACACACACACACACACACTGTACCGTATCATCAGAGGTTGCTGTAGCTTTCCAAGTGGACGCAGTCGCTGTTGTTTACTATAATGGCATGTTTGCTGTTGTTGCTGTTGTTGATGATGATGATGACAGTGATGACGGAGATCTTACAGAGGCGGCTGCTGTTGCTGTGATGACTGCTATTGTTGCTGCTCCTCCTGCTGATGTTGAATGTTAATAGTCACCTGTATTTTTGTTGCAGTTAATGTTGTGCTGTAATATTATTTTAGATAACAGCTCAGGAGCTGTCTGACAACAGAATCATCACTTTGACCCTGAGTGGGCGTAAACTGGATAAGAAGGTAGGCACACACACACACACACACACACACACACACACACACACACACACACACACACTCTCTGGATGCAAATGCAAGCACGCACACACACTCAGAGTGCATACTGCTTTAGGAGGCACAAGCAAAGCCCACACAGACAACATTTACTGTAGATGTTTTCACATCCTTCACCTTTGTCTGCTAACTAATGGGCTGTCAGGCGCACAGATAGTGGGAAATGAAAATCGTGCAATATATGTATTTATTTATAAGAGTTCATTTTCAATCATGGACCTATGGAGTAGCTGCTGCTGAAGAGAAGAATGACAGTGGGTCAGGAACAGCACTGCTTGAATTGTGATTTGAACTAATGCTGATGTGTGCCTGCTGCGCACCCTCTGGTTAAACTACCAGGGTACACACAAAGCGCAGTAATTGCTGGAACTCTTTTAATACAAATGTTAATTAAACAAAATAAAGACTTGCAATTTGATTTACTATAAACATTTGTAGAATTGTGTGTTGCTGTTTGGCTGAGGAGAGGAGAAATTAGGATAAAACAGGATTCTAGCCCCTTCAAAAAGACTTCACAACAAACTGTCTCCATTCTGTGCAGGACTTCTTCGGGAAGTCGGACCCCTACCTGGAGTTTCACAAACAGGGAGAAGACGGCAAATGGATGCTGGTGCACAGGACAGAGGTGAGTCATCGGTGGGGATTAAAAGCACCTACATCTAACTGTCATTATTGTCAACCATGAGCTGTCATTGTCAGCAAAACCAGACCTTACAGAAGGTCATACACTGTAACTGTAACAGTAAGTGTTGGAGGCTGGATGGCACAGATTACAGCCCCACGTTTTAGTTAACTCTACTGTGGCTACAGCTGCATTATATACCTGCTGCTGTGTAATTCAACGATTATGTGCCTATTTCTGTGTCTGTGACTTCAGGTCATTAAGAACACTTTAGATCCAGCATGGAAATCCTTCACTGTACCACTAATTTCTCTGTGCAATGGAGATGTGGACAGAAACATCAAGGTTAGTACTTAAGAGTTTCATATATTACAAAACTGGTGTGGTATGAAATTTGTACATTATTAAATGTGAGCAGTGCAGATTGACAGTGGAAAAATGGACAGAAAGTATCATGTTAATGCACTGGTTAAAAGTGTGTCAAAGTCATTTGATCTTGTTGTTTAGTCATAAAATGCTATGTAATAAATGCAAATCCTTAAAAATGTAACCAATTATAAATTCTTCTTCTCATAAAGGTTATCATTTTCGAATAGAGAATGTTTAGGATGGTCATATGTGCAAGTGTGACAAGCATGGTGAAGTGTAATGAGAGCAAAAATACCAGACAAATAACCACTTGAGTCTCAGAAAGGAAGCTGCACAAGCTGACCATGACACAGAAAACATGATGGCATGATGTGATGTGTTTTACAAAATAACAGGTCCTGTGTTACGACTACGATAATGATGGAGGCCACGACTTCATAGGAGAGTTTCAAACCACGGTTACCAAGATGAGTGAAGCTCAGAACTCAGTGGAGGTAAAACACATTCTGCATAAGTTTAATAAAGTGTTCGTCAATTCAATTTAGTGTTCATATCAGTATGTAACATTAGGTTCTGAACAATCTTTAATTCAGTTAGGGTTTAAGTACAGATTAGAGCTGAACATTTGTACTTACAGTGTAACCCCAGTGCAAAACGCAGGTATCTCACTGGTTCCCATTAGCCTTAGCTCTGCTTTCATTCACATAGCAGGCTTAATATTTGCATTAAGATGATTATACACTAATGAAAACCTACCTGTGAATATTATATCCCATTTCTGCCAGCAAATCCTCCAAAATGTTACACACTGGACCTTTAATATGCAAGCAATATATATTAACATGCTTCTTAGACCCTTAGTGGGGTCAGTATGCTGTTAGTATGATAACATTATTCCATATACTAAGTCTAATGAGACATAATATAGCCCCTACAGTAACCAGTGGAAGATGAGGCAGTCTGACAGCTCAGTGGATTGACTCAGCACCTGCCAAATACAGGTTAAGAGCAGGTTTTTTTTCAGCTCACATGCCACCATGGCTGCTTTTTTTCTTGTAGTGATAAATAAAAGCATTCTCAAGAATAGGGATTATGGATACATGATATATTCCATATTTCTACTGTGTTTACAATTTTAAAGTCTAGACAAAAAGAGTGGCTTGGAGAAATGTTCAGTGACCTGCCACAGTAAAATCTTCATTTCAGACCCTGGTAGACTGTTGAATTGAGATGTCTTGAAACAAAACATAAACCAATCTGATTTTGGTAGTTTATCCACTCAACATTTTCCTTTCCATGTGTGTAATGGGAATTACAGCCTCACTGGGCTGCTAATGTGGTTAAAGACTTTTATTCTTTTTTCCCCTTAACTGCAACAAATATTGGCTTACCTGAATGTTACCAGAGGTTATGAGGAATATGTTTTTGTTAAAGTAAGTGTTAAATAGTTCTACATTCCAACAGCCATTGTTGATATATCAGTCAGTAACTCCTAGTCCCTCCTTTCTGCAGTAAACAGAAAATAAATCTTGTGGTATCCCGTTCCCACTTTATCCAATCAGGAGCGAAACTTTAAACATCTGAGGACCATCCTTATAAAAAAGGAATTCAAAGAATTTTGATCTTTCAAAAAATAAGCACTTTATAAAATTAGCACTTCCTGTTCATTTTTCTTCAAAAAAGGAAGTGGACCATTTCTCCACATTGGTATGTTCAATTGACACCAAGCTTGGGTCCATAGTTCCCCATGTCTTCCTTAGGCATCGTGCACAATTTCAGGCCATCGCCACAAGGTGGCGCTCTTTAAAATGAAGAAGTTTATATCCGCATCGGCACGTGTGATTAAAATGAAACTTGGTAGGATGCTTGCCCATGGCTCCCTGAGGCTCACTAATAAATGTGTCAACAATCTGCCACTAGGTGGCGCTCTGGTGGCATGGTAAATTACTGTGCGGAGACCGTAATAGTTATGAATATGAAATTCACAGGACACGTGTAGACTACTGCCTGTAGCTCACATACCAAAAATCGTGTTTGTCGTTTTTGTAACCCTACAGGATTTTAAAAAAGCAGCCCCGGTGCCACGTTTCACCGATATGTATGAAAGTCGGTAGGCACATGTAACGTGCCGAGACGTAAAAAAAGCCTCTTGGACCCATACCCCAAACCACATGGGAAGTCGGCTATTTAGATTTTCATTTTCACTTTCGGCGAACTTTTTACCTTGTATTTGAACAAACTCCTCCTAGGGAATTCATCGGATCTGCTTCAAAATTGGTCTGTACAGTAAAAAAATGGTGCTGATTAAGAGTTGTGATATTTGTGCATGTACGTTGAAGGGCGTGTCTGCGGCATGCCGTCAAAGTTGGCCATTTTGAATTCCGAGCTCTTTTTCGGTGAATTTTTCGCCTTGTATTTGAACGAACTCCTCCTAGGGAATTTATCGGATCTACTTCAAAATTGGTCTGTACAGTCAAAAAATTGTGCTGATTTAAAGTTGTGCTATTTGTGCACGTACATTAAAGGGGGTGTCCGTGGCAGGCTGTCAAAGTTGGCCATGTGGAATTTCGCAGCCTTTTTCGGCAATTTTTTGCGTTGTATTTGAACGAACTCCTCCTAGGAAATTTATCGGTTCTTCTTCAAAATTGGTCAGTACAGATAGAAAATGTTGCTGTATAAAAGTTGTGCTATTTGTGCATGTACATTAAAGGGCGTGTCCGTGGCGTGCAATCAAAGTCATCCATTTTGAATTTTTTTGTCATTTTTCGTGTTGTATTTGAACGAACTCCTCCTAGGGAATTTATCGGATCTACTTCAGTCTACTTGGTCTGTACAGTCAAAAAATGCTGATTAAAAGTTGGCCATTTTGAATTCTGTGGTCATACAAACTAGATGAAAAGTTTGTAAAAATATTTGTGACTGTACGTCAAACCGTGTGCCAGTGACGACATGTCAAATTCAGCCAATTCGCCATAAAACAGTACTCATAACTTCAGTGTGCAATGTCCAATCTCCAAAAAACTTCATATATTCTGTAACAGTCTCGCCCTGAACACGTCCTCATAACTTCAGCGTACGTGGTCCAATCTCAATGAAACTTCACGTGTTTGATAAGAGTCCCGCCCTGAACACGTCTACATGACAATATTCAGACATAGTGATAGCCACACCTATTGGCATCAGAAAGTAAGCCCTGTGTGGCAATTCTAGAATGATTTACGTGAAATTTTCATGTTGTGGTCCGCACGTGTAACGACGGCACATGACGCAGCCGCAGCACGCCCCAAGTTGCGTGGAGTGTGAGGTCCCACTCAACGCTGCTTGCAGCTTTAATTTGCTATTACATACTAAAAATATCAACGGACATAAAAGCTGAATTTGAGGCGAAGAGTAAGGGGAATAATGACAGTGCAAAGTCATGACCTGGATTTAAACCATTGCATCATCCAGTTTGTCATGCTACACATAAGCTGCTAAATAATTTTGAAACAGAAGGTTACTGGTTTGATTTTGAAACACTGAACCATTTCTTTTAAAAATCTAAACAGCATTTGAATTGGCCACAACTTTGTCCCATACTGGCTAATTTGCAGTTTAAATGCATTTAGTCACGTCTATCAACAATGAAGCTGGAATAGAAGCTGCACAGATTTGCATTGATGCATTATTTCTCACACTATGGCCATTGAGGAGCGAATGACTAACTACAACTGAGATGTATTCTCTTCACTTTTGCATTCCTTGCTTGCCAAAGATGTAAAGATTCAGGGATCAGAACACCGTTCATTCATTAGTAGCAGTGTGTGTGTGTGTGTGTGTGTGTGTGTGTGTGTGTGTGTTCGTGTTTGCATCTGTGTGTGACCAAATGTGTGTGTGTTCATTTGTGAAACTGCATGTGTGCATGTGCCAAAGCAGCCTCATGACTTGTTCTCCCACAGAGTCTCTTCATGTGTGGTAATGTTGTGGAGGGGTGGGGGAAGGCACGAAATAACAAGTGAAAAAAGACAGAGGCAGGATGGAGAGATGGCGGATGGAGAGGGAGAGAGAGAGAGGGAGAGAGAGGGGGGGGGAGAGAGTGAAAAGAAGGATGAGAAAATGAGAGGTGCTTTTGAGATGCAAAACAGCCTTTAGCTGAGCCTTAGTAACACGACAAGGCATTTAGAGCTACCTGTCATATGAATCACCAACTGACTTAAGGCATGTGTGTGTGCATGTGTGCGCATGTCTCAAATGTCTCTTTTGATCAAACACATTGCTGTCCAAAGTCTGTTTGAGTGACTTACACTATTAAAGACAGCCCCAAGCTTCTTCTTTTATCTCCATGTTCATCGTGTAAAATGAATTCATAAAGCACAAACAGTATTTTTGTGTTTTGTGCATACAATAGTATCGGTTGCCATATAGACTGCATGCTACACCGCTATAATATAGTTGGCTTATGATACATTTCTAAGTTTTAATGTCAAGTTGTAGTGGCTGTAGGCGGCATGTGCAATACGTGCAGATCCAAGTCACAGTCTCTCAGTTGTCTGTTCTTTTCCCTCCAGCTCACTGCTACTCTTTCCAACTCTGCTGTCATCTCTAGTTTTCTCTTTATGTTTTTTTTCTCGCTTTTTAACTTTTTTCTCAATTTCCCCTCTTTTGATACTGATATTTGTAGTCTTTCTGTTCTCGGCAATTGTCTTTCTCTTCAGGTGGAGTTCGACTGCATCAACCCCAAGAAACAGAAGAAGAAGAAGAATTATAAAAACTCTGGAATTATCATTGTCAAGTTATGTAAGGTGAGGATGGATGGATGGATGGATGGATGAATAGATGGATGGATGAATAGATGGATGGATGGATAGGTGGATGGATGGATGGGTGAATAGATGGATGGATGAATAGATGGATGGATGGATGGATGGATAGGTGGATAGATGGATGGATAGATGGATAGATGGATAGATGGATGGATGGGTGGGTGGTCGGATAGATGGATGGATGGATGGATAGATGAATGAATAGATGGATGGATGGATTGATGAATAGATTGATGGATAGATGGATGAATAGATGGATAGGTGGATAGATGGATGGATAGATGGATGGATGGATAGATGGATAGATAGATGGGTGGGTGGATAGATGGATGGATGGATGATATATAGATGGATGTATGGATGGATGTATAGATAGATAGATAGATAGATAGATAGATAATAGATAGATAGATAGATAGATAGATCAGCAGCATCCATGTTTTCTTCCCAATCTTAACCTTTGGTGGGGTCTGAATTGTAACTACTGGTATTACGGTTTTGGGTAGATAGGATAGTGTAGATAATAATGATGTCTGGGTTGTCAATATTAGGCTATAATTAACCTGCCACATAGACATGTGCTATCACACGTAAAGCATGTTTCCCACTGCGCTCCCGTGACACATTGTCACATTGTCGCGCTACAGGTCGGGAACGGCGAGTGTATAAGAGCCTTAAGAGTAGTAGACGTTACGTTTTGAGTGGATGGCGAGCGAGAGACGTCCAAAATGGATGCCAATAATATTCTGAATGGATATTTACTTTTAAAAAGTTGCCAAATGGTTCCATTGACAAGACCAAAGTGATCTGTGTGTTTTGTCGTTGTGTACTGAGCTATCATCGCAGCACGTCCAGTCTGAAATACCACTTGATGGCCAAACACACAGCTGATGCGAATTCTCCGCCCCCTCGTCAAAGCCAGGCGACAATGGATGATTTTTCAATAAAAACAAATTTGCACAAAGCAAACCGATCCACTTTCCCATGTTGATAAGAGCATTAAAATGAGAAAAAAATAATGAGACAAAAGCTGTATAAAATGTAGAAATGTCTTGTTTTGTTTGACCAACAGTCCAAGACCAAAATGTATTAAATCTACAGTGATATAAAAGAGAGAAAAGCAGCAAATCCTCACATGTAAAGAGCTGGAAGCAGCAAATTCTTTAGTTAGATTGTAGTTTCTACCAATCGACTAATCAATTAATCAACTAATTATTTCAGCATTAGATTAAGTGTTAATACCAAAAGTATCACTTAATGCCGGTTAAGCTGCTTAAAAATCTTCAAGGTGAATTCTCATTTATATAAAACATCAATACTAAGTCCTACACATTAAAATCCTGAGTTGGAGGAACAAAAATAACTCACTTGACCATCAACCTAATCATTCAGTCTCTGCGCACATCATGTCACCTCATAATAACCCATCTTACATTCGACTCAACACTTGATTAAACCATTGTGGTTTTGATCAGCATACTCTTCTAACTGGGCTTTCATAACTCCCTCTGAATAACTAATTATTGCGGCAGCTCTGAGCCCCACAGAGGACACATTAAGCTCAAAGTGAAGTCTTTAGTTGCCTATTGGAATGACATTAAAGCTGTGTGCATATGATGACAAGCTTTCATAATTGATTCTTTTCCTTCTTCATTTTTTCATGTGCACAATCACGAACAAGCAGGCACACAAACATACACACACCCAGCACATGCACATAACCGCTAATACAGTAATTATATTTGTTGGCTGTCGGCAGGGATTAGACTAATGACAGTAAAATCCATGCTAAATATTCTTTGTAATTGGAGTGGAAATTGTGTTCAAACATGATAATAATTGGTGCTCCATTGGTGGTACCTTGAGTCGGAACGACGTGGGCTGTTTTATCATTTTAAAACAAATTTTAGGGTTCTGCTTATGAAAAGAGAGGCTGTTTACTACATTGCCTGTGGTGTAAAAAATACTTTCAATGGACAAACTGGATCAGACACTGTACCTTAAATGGAAGCACAACAACAAGGCTGTTTTTATTTGTTAACAGTGTTAACAGTATATGATGCTGATTAACAATGATTTAACTGATTTGATGCAATTTTGACTCTTTTTCTCAATAGATCAATATTGTCCTCTTCTCTTGCTGGCTGAAGTTGTTTTCCTGAGCTGTTTTCTTACTGTGCCGTTGTGTCTCTAGATTACAAGAGACTACACTTTTCTGGATTACATACTGGGAGGATGCCAGCTCATGTTTACAGTGAGTATTACATTAGCATGCCTGTTTTTCTGCCTTTGAAATGATGTGGTAATGAGATACATGTTTCTGCGTGCTTTGCTCTCACACACAGATGGAAAACAATCCGATTTTCTATTTTCATCTCCTGGGGGTTACAGTTGGATCACGATCATTTACATACAGAAAGGAAAGAGTGTGAGGGACAGGGAGTCAGTGCTGAGAAACAGAAAAAAAAAAATGAGCGAAGCAGAGAAGAGTAATGAGGTTTTGTGAAACACCAAAATGCTTTTTTTTTTAACAGTTATAACAGAAAGGCACAAATAGAATTGGGAAAGACAGAGGAATACCAGGAATTGAGGTTGTAAAATAATGAAAATAGAAAGTTGAGTGTTCGATTAAGAAAGAGGAACAGGTGAAGAAAGAGATAAAGAAAGAGATAGAGAGATTTTATCAGAGGGAGAGAGACGCAGAGTCGTCATACTCTATTTTGGTCTCTTGTTAGGAGAAACTCTTGTGTGTCCCTGGTGATGTCACACCTTTGTGTGTAACTGAGTGAGTGAGAGTGTTTTATAATAGCCAGTATCACACACACATACACACACACACACACACACACACACACACACACACACACACACACACACACACCTAGTCACACACATTGCGTTGTTATTATTATCTGGGGTGTTTTTGTCCAACAAATGTAACTGCCCTGCTGATAAATCTTAGGGCCATTCAGACTGGCTCACTGTTACTGTAACACACACACACACACACACACACACACACACACACACACACACACACACAAACAGACACAAATTCTGAAACCACAAGCACACCAAGAAAAATGCAAAGACACACTTTCAGTGCATGTACAATGAGAGCACACACACTCTGTGCCAGCTATACATATGCACACACACAGTGTACCTTTTTTTTCCCGCTTCTCTATCTCTCCAACAATTTTGCAGCTTTGTGAGCTAGAACCAGGCTCCAGATGTAGCAGCTACAGATAATGTAGTTTGTTACATGCATGATTTTGTGGCATTTCCCTTAAAGTGTGTTCTGAGATTGGACACCTTTGCGCATCTTTGTATTTTAATAGGAGTCAATACATTTGTGCTCTAAGAATGTAATGGTGTAAAAATGTTTTTCCCAAATGGTGGAATTCTCAGCTAAAGACATAACATTGTCTGTGGAAAAAATGTATGCTACATTTCCTTCCAGAACCCTGGCCATCTGTTTTAACCCCGACACGTCGCTGCTGTACTGGAAAACATAGCTCCACAGGAGTGTCCTTTGTAGCATTTTGTACATTGGACCAGAACCTCTCTTGTGATTGTGTGGAGTATATTTCTGGCTCAAGGTCTTGGTCAAGTACAAGAGAGTTGTTGTGCAGAGGGGACTTTACTTGTGATCTTGTACAGGAATGCTGCCAGCATAAGAGGTTGTGTTGTGAATGTCTCCTGGGGGCAGATAGCCGCTAGATCTTCTGTTAAATTCAGGGCACACACGCACAGACAGACAATGACAAGCCTCTTTGTTATTTTCACCTTATTGATGGAAATTAGGCTTTAAAGCAAAGAGCAAAGTGCTGTTGCCATAGTGACGCTTTGTGCTGTTGATGACAATGTTCGCACCATGATGAATAAGTGAGGAAGAAAAATATGTACAAGAGCATTAAAAAGAGCATTAATGGTTTGTCTGTATGTATGAATGTAGTTTTTTGTCAGTGAAGAGATTTGATCCTCTCTGCATTGACCAAACATTCACAGTTAAATATATATTCTTTTATTTTTGGTCACTCAAATTAGTGACCAAAAAGCAACTGACTAATTAAACTGTGATTGTCCAGTTATAGCTCAGCAGTTGGCAGGTCAGTCAGGCTTTTGATATTTCCACATATTGAAGCAGTGTACAGCGTACGGCTTTTTCTCTTGTAACATTTGTTGTAATCACAATGTATGAAATGATGATGTGAAAACATTTTGACATTGTGAAAGGGATCAGTGATGGACCTAGAGAGAATTAGCAGCTGAATTTCCTTCTGCTCCCTGCAGCTTTACAGATGTAAAGCTTTACTGTTTTGGTTCACCCCCACCGCTTTCATAGCGCCGGTTTCAGCTGCAGCAGGCAGCGGTTTTCAGAGAAAAAGCTCCAAAAACCCACTGTACACCACCTGCTCCACACCAAAGAGCTGACAGACACAGTTAGCAACCTAACTGGTGAACACAACATTTAGCTGCTAAAGATACAGATGATACAGACAGAAAACAGCTAAAAGTAGAGTGAATATTGGATGTACATTTGTCAGGTGGTCAGAAATACAACTCCAAATAAATGATCTATAACTGTTGCATCTGTAAATAATAAAAAGTTTGCTAACAAGTTCAGCAAATTAACATGCATGTAAGCTAAGCAGCCAAACAGGGTTGTGGTTTGTTTTATTTGACCTTTTTTCCAATCATGCTTGTATTCTAGGACTCTACATTGCAACATAAGAGCAATGCTGTGTCTTTATTTCCATGTTGTGTACATGAATTATAAACTGGTGAATATGCACTTTTTCTGGGACCTGTAGCTTTGGCCTCAGCTATTAAGACCCCCTTTCCATGTTTCTTGTTTTAAAGTGAGTCACATAGAAACATTAAAAAGTCACCTATGGGGCGCACTGATAGCTCACCTGGTCGAGCTGGTGCCCCATGCCGTGGGTTCGACTCCGACCTACGGGCCTTTTGCTGCGTGTCCTCCCCCACAAAAAGGTACCTACTACCAACGGCTTATGCTGAATGAAATCTGCTCCTGACAGATGTTATTTCAGCTGTCAAAATGGTCCCTCACCCTCTAGAAATAAGAAGCTTCTTGTCATGGCCCCTGTATGTCCTAAATTCATTTATTCCATGTTCTGCAGGATAAAATACACCTAGTGACACAAGGTGAAAATATGATTTTAGCGTAGAGTTTCACTTTGGGTTGTGTAGAGAATCACGTGGCCAGTGCTGCGGGTTACACACTGAAGCTATCAAAGGCCATACCCTTTCACTGACAGTGCAACCCCCCTCAGCCAAAGAGTCTTTTTGGGCATTGGTTGTTTTGCTAGCTGGAAAAACTGCTTCAACCACGAGGCCAGCATACTGCTTCTGTCTACCTCTTAATTAACTGACCGAATGTCTCAAACATTATTTGAATTTAGAGCAGTAAACTGTTAATTGCATATGTAACATGCTAGAGTGGAAAGCTTGACTGGCATTGCAGTCGGAAACCGAGTGGGGCGGGGTTTAGATATGGTCATTTGCAGCCACATGTCAACTGAAGATGTGTCTGTACGGGGCATAAAATCAAAAAGCCTTGCCCTCTACATGTTGTATTGTAGGTCCCATGTCATTGCTGAATAGCTGATGTAGTAGAATGTTATTCCTCTCGTCGGTGCTCTGGTCAGTTCTTGATGACCAGGTAAAATCAGAATGGGGAGTTTTTACTTGTCCAGCAGTGATGTGCTTTGAAGTTTACGGGCATTAGGACTCTCTACATCCAGCGTCTCTGTTGTAGATGACTGAGGTGAATGAAAAACACTCACGTCATCAGCCAGCAGTCGAGTGTTTCAGTAAAAGGTTGGACAGTGTTGGGCAGCTCTTAGCCGTGGAAATATTTCACTGCTGAGTGTAAATCAGGACGTACCGTGTTAAAATAGAAATATCACAGTTTGTAGAAGTTATTGACTGATTTCCTCTCTCCGATTCTTGCTTGTTTGTAATGAGCAGACTCTCAGTGCAGTGTGAACATTTGCCTGTTCTAGTAGTGGTGAGATGAGCAAATTTAAGGCGGAATGGGAACTCTTAAATCCTCGCTGCTCCCTCCTAATCTTTTGCCTTTTGTCACAGACCTGCAGCTCTGTCACTGATGCACACACACAAACACACACACACACACACACACACACACACACACACACACACACACACACACACACACACACATACATAATGCTGTCTTAACACACATATACTTCTTCTCTCGTGCTTACAAACTCATTTACATACACACACGTGAGCACAAACATATAATATCCTCGGTCACACACGATTTACATACAAACTCCCAAAGCATGACTTTGGGACACACACAAACACACACACATGCACAAATCCAAACACAGTATCTTCGTCAAACAGACATTTTATCAAACATACTTCTGCACTCTGAACAAGGCTTTATACTGTAGGTGTGCAGACACACACATGCAATATATTCAAAACATGCACCTTCCCTGCTTACGCACATTGACTGATTTAGGCAAGCACATATAATCTCACGCAGGCGCTCAATCACCGATGACATCTTCTTGACACGTACACACTGCCACACAGATTTTACATATGCACACATAGAGCGAAAGCTGTGGTGCATAAATACACACCCGGCACACACACGCATGCAGAAAGAGCTGTTCTGCGGTGTTCAATCAGACTTAGAATGGCTCTAATCCTAATCTCCAGAAAGGGAAAGTCTCTCCTCGGGGCTGTGGGAGCTGGAGGCGAGAGCAGCGTTTCTCTGTTACACACTCCAACACAAAGAGACAGCCTGCTACTGCTGATGGGCTGTTTGTGAAAGACTCATTTCAACTGAATTGTGCTATTATTCATATCTTATGTTTGATATCATTCAGAGCTGTGTAGAGCGTAGTGCTCGTGTCCCTGTGGATTTATGGAGAAAACAAACTTTTCATGAATGAGAGCACAGACAAGCATCTTCACAGCTCAAGATGTTGATACAGACAATATCAGTGAAGACACATAGCTGTTTTTTCAGGGTTTTTTTTTTTTTTTGGTTTTATTGCCAAAGCCTGAGACTATATTATTGTGCTACAATGTTAAAATTACACTAATGTAATGTTTTATGTCTTTCAGAGTTTCAGGGGGCCTTTATTCAAATGAAGTATTTTCTGATTTGGTTATTTCCTCACAACGTATTTATTATAACATCAGTGATTATGGCTATTGAATACATCTACTGATTCT